GGAGGAGGAGGGAGAGAGAATCCCGCATTCTTACTTTAGCCATAACCATTGCATTAACCGTCGACCATCTTTGTCGCTCTGCGTTGCACCTGTTCGAGTAAGTTGATATCCTTCCTCATCCATGGTGAAGCTGCTGCGGAGATTCCTCCAACCCCGCTATTGGCGGTCCGCATTATTTGGTCGTAAATACCATTCTGCTCCAGTATTAGCTTAGGAATGCTTGATTGCAGATACGACAAAAGATCAACCCTGTTGTAGTTTTGCTCACGCCGCAAATCCACGTCTAACGAAGTAGCAGCAGATCGGTTTTGGTGATGGCTTTCTCATTTGATTGAGAACTTTGTTCATGATGTCTACGCACACATCCTCAGTCATTATTAACGCCTCGTTGTAGATTTTCTGCTATGAAATCCACATTTGAATTGTCCTTGCGGATTCGACGGAAGATGCCTTCAGCCATGTGCGATCCACTGGTCGAGGCGGGGGGAAGGGGTGGTGTTAACTGCTTCCAGGTGCCACGCCTGAGAATCCCATTGGAAGCGGCGACAGCCCGGTTGTGTGTGTTGTGCGGCAAGTTCAAGTGGAGCCCAAGAGTAGCGTGTTTTTTTGCTGCAGGGTGGGTGGTTTGCCTAGCTGCCCATATTGCATCGACCCAGGGGGGCGGGTGAGCGGGGGAGTGCATGCTCAAGTATCTGCAGGGTGGGTGAGCGCGGCCATCGAGGGCACTGTTCGTTTTGCTCATCTCCTGTGCTCCCCCCCCCCCCGCAATAGCGGGAACCGACCATCAAACAAGCGTAAAAGAACTGTTCAATGAGCTTGCCTGGGCAACAGGTAGGATTCAGAACGCAACTTTATAGCTGTCACTCGGACATTATGCCCACGGTGGATTATGTCAAGAATCGGACGAAGTATCAGTGCATCTGAACTGCTTCCTGGAACTCACCTATTCGGTTCTGCAACTGTCAGTCTTCGAAGTTGCACTCCCAGGTACAGGCAGTTACTTGCAGTAGAATAAATCAACTTTTCAATCCACAAACAGGAGAATACAGATGACTGTCAGGCGTGTTCACAATGGTCCTCAGATATAGGAGCACACACTGGCCATAGGGAGGGGGAGGTCATTGGTTCGACCCCGCCTCACAAAAAACTTTCGTGTGAGCTAATTCCCCGTGTCAAGTAGTCTGCTTGAGTACGGCTTACATTTTTCAACTTGCGCTTCTTGTACGTCTGGGCGGCATACTGCAAAAAAGTGGGAACACTGTTAAGTGAGAGGCAAAAAGCAAAAAAAACAAAAATGCAGTTTCCCGTCTGCTATGCTTACTCTGCCGAATATCTGGTTTGAAGTTCCATACAGGCTTCCTTGAAATGTGTTTTACGTAGCTGAAGTTTCATTGTACAGGGATTACAGAATAGGACTGTGGATGTGCTCATTTTTCTTCTAGAAGACAGCATTCTTCCCCAGTGGCTCTAAGCCACCTTTATTATAACGCAGCACGGAGGTAAGAGCATGACACTGCAAAGTAAAAAGGTGCCCTGAAGTTCTGTCAAACCGCCAACCGGCCCCGGATTTCCCATCTATCGTCCTATCTACTAACCCATCGGCCGTCCGAATAGTCGACTTCTCTTGTAACTTTCGAGGAGGGCACCTATAGCGTCGAGCTCTCATCTGCAGAAGAGCGAAACCTGCATTGAATGTGTCGAACGGCGAAAATAGGCTAAATTTGCTGTATTTCCGGAGCTCAACTATAAATAGAATTTGCATTTCGGCCAATATGAGCTCGTAGGCAACTCCAGGAAGTTTTATTCAGATGGCCCTAGTTTCGCACCTTCTCAGGTGGTCCCCTGCAGTCGGGCACCAATTCTGCAATAAACCCAGACTTCCTCACAGTGAGCATGTAAAATGCTGTCGTTTCAGCATCCGAAACCACATACGTACCGCATGCGATTTGCGTGTCCACTTGGACATATCCCGTAACACATAAAATATGCGAACACAGTGGGGATGACTTACATGGTTGACAGGTATTATCACGGCGCCCTGGGATATCCGAGCACACATGAAGGCACCGACTTCATAAAAATCGAGAAAACTGTGAATTGTAAATATTGCAGTAGGTTGGACACTTGTTCCAGAGGTAACACTTGCAAAATAACTAAGGCAGGAAATTCCAATCAAACGACGAAACAACCCAAAGTAGGTGGAGATAAATTTAAAGTTTAAGTACCTATTTCTCGCGTTGTCGTGCAGACTTGAGGCGGTGTCGCATACAGCATTACTGTCGGCCCACAACAGCAGCTCGTCTTCTATTTACGATCTGATTCAAACTATATCGGTCTTGGTAACGACGGCATTTTTTTATCAGACAGAAGTACTCTTTCCAGTGTTTTGGTTCTTAATAGAAAGACCAGGCCCTCTTCCCCCCTGCCCCGAGGTAGCATTGATTTCGCATAGAAGTAATGCTAAGTAAAAGATGCCGGTATGGATCGGAGCTCTTAGACCCTTTACTTTTTCTGTAGCGAGTGACCAATACTCACCGACCGTATATGTACCGACCTTCCGTAGAATTTCTATCGTGGCTCTAGAGTTGACTTATAGGCTAGGTAAAGAGTAGACCTTAGCTGTCGGTCCCGCGTCCCTTACACGGCCGTCCCATACCAAGTACATAAGATCAACGGCTGGGACCACCTTTATACCCTGTAAATGTACTCCAATTCTAAACTCGCTACTTTCGATGCAGAACCCGGAAATATCGAGTTCCATTAGACAGTTTAACAAGTATAACGCAGGACGCCCGTAACGATGCTCCCGGGCCGACGATGTTAGGCATGTCCTTAAAGTGATTCTGAGATCCGCCGCCTAATGTTAGTTTTGCATATGAAGCCTTCCACGGTAGCCTTGAGTTCACAGTGCACACGAGAACACGTTAAACAATAGCAAAATAGGTATTATGCCATGAAGGTAGGAAAAAGTGTACCTTGGCACATATAAAATATATAAAAGACAGGGAACGCCGGTAAAGAGAAACATGGCCGCCTGGCGTTGTGGGCGTGAAAACGAAAAATATGTACAAAGATACAAGCGAAATACGGTAAGACGAGCGCAGTTGTATATAGAAGTAGATCAATAGAACCATCGCCATAAAAATCCCTGAGTGTCTGGAGTGCGGGGCTAGGTCGAGAGAAGTAGTCTGGGCTCTGTCACCTACGGTCGTGACGTTGCCCAATAGACGTCGGAAACGTTAGAAAACGTGGAGAAGCGAGTGGAGCAGGAGACCGTGCTGGACTCCGTCACCGGCGGCAGACCGGAGTCTGCGCTGATGAGGACACCAGCGCCGATAAGACTGTCCGCATTGTTCCCACCTCCCCGCACATGATGGACTGCCATGGAAAAGGGCGCGCAAGCGCTACCGCCAACGTCGCCGCAGTTAGAGGCAACTGGAGTCCATCGGGTGTCCTGTTGCAACTTCTCGCTGTCGCCGCCCGCCTGATTGTCATTTGCATGCGAGGAGAATATGAAACGGCTGTCGGCCTGTCGATTGGAAAAGCAGTCGCCCGCAGTTCTGAACTGCGCCGCGCCAGCTGGACCCTGTTCCAACAGTGGGTGGTTTGTCCCGGGGGTGAAGGCGCCGCCCTCGTCCTGCCTCGACCCGCCCAGTTCGAAGTTGAAGCGCAGATCAATGGAGTCAGTGGGTTTGAGGGAGTCACGCAACACACCGGGAATGTTGAAACCCACATGGCCACCGCGGAACTCCTCCACGAACATGGCCGGAAAGTGGAGTTTCTCAGTGGCTTTTGGAGCCACACCCGATTCGCGGCGCAGTCGCCCCAATGGAGGCTTGTTGCTGTCTGCCCAGCGTGACTCTGCACTACAGCTGCCGTGGAGAGACAATTCCTCCAGCTGTTCGTCCAAGGCAAACAGGGCGTCGTTGTCAACCTCCTTAGTGCATCGTCTAGGGCTAAGAGAACTCGTATCGGACTCCTCCGTATCACTGTGGAAGTAATTTCGGTATCTTTCGCAGGATAGCATTTGTGCGTGGTTTGACCTTTCGAGTTAACATCAACAGAAAGATCAATCTGCAAAGAAGGGCGGTAGATAGGTGTGGGGTGAGTAAGATTACCTCGGGTTGATTTGGTTGCAAGACCAAAAAAATAAGAAACAGCACGACGCCTAGCGTGCGTCGAAATTCATGAAACAGTGATCGACACGTTCTCACCCGCTTTCAAATAGAAGAGTATGATGAAGAATCGGTTGGCAGAGCGGAAATTATAGTATGGTTACGTGGTGGCATCTGGCCGAGGCCTCCAGTTACCCGTTTAAATCATATTAGGAAAAAATAACTGCGTGCGTAATGCGCCCCTTTTGCACTGGTTTTTGGCAACGGGATATATACAGTCCTGTTGCATGTAAGGCATACACACGAGCACGTTTGCATAATGAAGGAGTGCGTATTTCAGCACAGAGCCAATTATAGGTCAACAGCATCTGCGAGGAACCCCTGGGGAAGGTAATATTCCACTCGGGAGAGAAAGTGCTCTTTTCATGTTCGAGGAGCCCGTGTGAGCTCCTGATAGTGCGTATATCCCATGTCCTTGGATGTGAGATCAATTTACCTCTTTCCGATCTCGATTTCGTGTTGAGAATACTGTCTGTAAGGTGGGATTTACAAGCCTTAATTACATCACAACTAGGTCGAGTAGCAGTGGCTGAGTGGCTAATGAGATCCCCGTGACATGAACAACCGTCGGTCTCTGTTGGTTGCTATTTCTAGTTTAGTTCAGTATATCTGAGGATAAAAGACAATGTTGTGTAGTGCTCATCAAAGTACACTCAGTAAAAATCTAGAGAATAAGGGCGTGACAACCAGCTCAAATGTTATTGGATCAAGAATCTTACTCATTTTGGAGGCGGCCGATCAGTAAGATTTTATTGAACATTTACGAACCAGAAAGACAAGACGGAATCGGTGAAAAAAGGGACGACAGTCGTAAAACTCACCGTCAAAAGAGCAGGCCCAGATAATGCCACAACCCCGCAGGAGACTATGCGCAGTGCCGCCGCATGTCGCTGAAATAGCGATCACGCCACGTTAGGGCACCAATCAGACGTCGACTGCGTGCTGGCTCACCAATCTGATTGGCGCTCACGCCATTGTCCTTGTAAGCCTGGTCATCAGGTCGCGCGGCGTGTTGGCGAGTGCGTGTGTACGTGCGTATTTTGGTGCGATGATGAAATCAACTAATAGTGGGGCTCAAGACGAAGGAGTACTTTGTCTAGCGGACGAGTCGCGCCCCCTCGGTCGCAAGTCCACCCGCAGGCTAAGCGCAAGTCCAGGGGCCCAGTTCGATCAAACACATTCATTTTCGCAGCTTTTTCGGGTCGCCTCGAGATCCCCTTGCGTAGGTAACAGTAACGGTTAGATCCTGCACGTGCTGTCGCGGTGTAAGCAGTGTCCAGGGCCAACCGGTGCTGGTAGACCGTTGGAGTTAGGCCGCCACTGCAACGGATGATGAAAGAGCGATGTTATGCGGGCGGAGGTCAAGCAGGTCATCCAACATAAACACTCGATGCACAGGTCCCTCTTTTTTGCCTACACGCGCGTAGCATCTACTTTTTGGTGAGGACCACTACCACCTTAAGCACAAATCTGATTATGACGAGGAGGGCTGGATGTCGTCAACCTAACTCCCCCTCCTCCCCTAGTTCCCACTCGCTTCTACTTCTAAGATTAAGCCAAAAGGATTGGGTGTAATGATTGCATGAGAATTCACCTTTGATCAGTAGATCGCAGGAAGCACTACTGACACATATGTCTCTTAGCCCGACCTCATCTAGTTCGATGCTAATATCATTCAGAGCAAGTCACCCTGTGGGCAGCTTTAAAAGTCAGGACTTTTGAGTTTCCATTCGTCAAACGCCACAAAACCATTCATTTTCGACGCCGAATCCAAAGCAAACCTCTTCGTGAGAGTCGTCGTCGGAAGAAGCCCGAAGTTTGAAGTTCCAGAGGGAGCTAGCAAGTGATGAAATAGATATTCGGGTGGAAAATCCACAAGAGAGCAAACCCATCGCAAATGTTTTGTTCTCCGTATTGATGTCGGTCAATCCTATAAGTCCTTTTTCATAAGCAAGGCCTTCGTATCGTTATCTGTGAACACTTTTTACATTACATTCTTAGTCATTTGATCACACTGAACATGTTGCTCAGATAGGCTGCACAGATACAATCAGCAGTTAGTAGTCGAGAAAGAAGCTGAACACAAAATAGCAAATTTAGGCTTGAAATTCTTGTACGAGTTCTGATTATACTAAGACTTGAGCCGGAGAGACTTTATCGTAAGATTTGGAAAGTACAAACTGTTCTTGCATAAAATTCTTTTACGAAAGATCTGGGATGTAGGGATTCAAGGGAGAATGTTTAAGTGGATCAGGAGTTTTCTGTCCTCCAGACTACAAAGAGTCGTCGTTGGAAATTCTACCTCGGAATGGGTAAAAGTGGAAAGTGGTGTCCCACAGGGTTCTGTCTTAGGCCCAGTACTCTTCCTGATTTATGTTAATGACTGCATCAGCGAAGTGAATTGCGAGGCTCTCATGTTCGCGGATGACATAAAAATATGGAGTGAAGTCAAGTGTGATGATGACGCAGAGAAGTTGCAGTCGAACATCAACAAACTGTGTGCTTGGTCGAACAAATGGCTTTTGAAGTTTAACGTGTCCAAATGCGTGGTCTTGCACCTGAACACCGGCCGCAATGCCTCTCCCAAACACCAGTACTATATTGACGGGACGAGGTTAGAAACTGTGGAAAGACACAGAGATCTGGGTGTATGGACGACCACAAATCTATCGCCATCAGAACACTGCAGAAAGATGGTCCAGAAGGCAACTAGTACTCTACACTTGATCAGACGTGCATTTAAAATATTTCCTCCCGAACTCTTCGAAAGACTCTTTGGTGTCTTTGTAAGACCTCATCTAGAGTATGGAATGCCAGCAGCTTCACCATGGATGAGGAAGGATATCAACTTACTCGAACAGGTGCAACGCAAAGCGACAAAGATGGTCGACGGTCTGAAGCATTTGTCTTATCAGGAGAGGCTGAATTTGCTTGGCCTATTCCCTCTCTCTTATAGACAAATAAACTGCAGTCTACTCTGGACGTTCCGAATTGTTCGCGGCCAGGGTTGCTCATTAAGAGCAGAGGACTTCTTTGAGTTCGCCCATACAAACCAACTACGCGGCCATGCATACAAAGTCGGGAATGAATGCACGCGTTTAGACCGACGAAAATTTTCATTCAGCCAGCGGGTTGTCAGGCCGTGGAACTCGCTTCCAAACGAGATGGTGACGGCTGACACGGTTTGTATGTTTAAAAGAAAACTTGCTCGTCTAGTTTTCGACAGAAATCGGCTTGTACAGCATGACTATGCACAGCCATTTTTGTAAAATCTGTCATATACAATCTTCCGCACTAATTTACAGTGACCCCATGCACTACCTTATGATTACGATTGAACTGTGACCCAATCACATTTTAAATGCCTGCAATTTTATTTTATTTTTGAGTATGAATCTGCGAAAGCACTGTACATAAATAGGGTCATCAAGGGCTCTGCCTGTAACCCTTCAATATATGCATACATATATACATACATAAATTGTATGTCGTAGTCAGTTAATTCGAGCTGGTGACTTTGGGCTTTCTGGTTTAGATTGGTTGCTGACAAAGAAAAAACGACTAGATGACGTCTGCCGAGTGTCCCTCTCGCATCACACATTCTTGCGTTCAGCCCACGGTCTTGAATTTTTTTCCTCCAAGAGGTCAATGTAGTGGTAAACTTTGAAAAAAGAATCCAGTAATCGCACTTACGAAGTCGTAACAACCACGTGAGTACACATCCAAGTACACATGGGAGTGACGCTCGCTATCTCTCCTGGTAAGGAAGTTCGTCTTTACTTTGAAGCTACGAGTTAGCGCAACATATTTGCCTGGCTTAGGGTTATATTGGGACTGGCTAACCATGGCGGATAAGTCGAAAAGGCCCATTCCAGTCTTTCGCGTCTTTCTCGGTAATACGTTTACAAATGTAAGTCCCACCATTGCAAGGAAAAGCGCAAATATTTAGAGCTTGACCTACAACTGAACTACTTGGATTAGGGAGATGTGATCTGGGGGACACAAATTTTATTCTCCTGTTGTTGCGGATTACCGGCTAGAACAAATCATCGAAGACAGTCACGGGTAAGGGGGATGGGGACACACGAGGCTGGATGTTTGTAGGACGCAGTTGCCATGCCACCAGGTGACTTCCATGTCGAGGGTCCATTCTGTCACCTCAGCTTAGTATTCTCCAGAGAGAGCTGAGGTGAAAGTGATTAAGTTTCCGCGCTTGTTCCTCGTATAAAGTCCAGGTCTCCGCTCCATACAGCAGTGTCCTCAAGGTGGCTGTTTTGTACATCCTGAGTTTGGTTTTGGGATGGAGACCCTGGCGATTCCATACTGAGTTTTGCAGCTGACCGAAGACTGCCTACGTAGGCGAAAGTGCCCATGGTTTTGAATTGGCTGCCGTTGGCGACGATTTAAGGGAGGCTGTATTCAGTCTCGAATGACGGCCGATGCATGACTACCGTTCTGTCCGTGTTGATGGTCAGTTCGAAGATGACGCAGCTGACGGCGCAAAGATCCCTGTTCCGACTCATATCCTATTCCTTTGCGATGTTGAGCCGCAATCGTTCGCGAATAGCAGGTCGTGGACAGTAGTCGTGTAGAGACGCGCAGGAGCCTGCATGCATCAGCTATTGAGAAGATGGTCGCCTGTAGGTAATGCGGACCCCGGGTGAGCTCATCACGGTAGGCATCCATCATCATGGCAGAGAACATGAGACCACCGATGTCTCTTTGACTTTGTATTGCAGCCACTAACTCATCCACAGATCTTATTCCTTCCCAAACTCAGAGCACACGCCCTACAGGCAAACGAGGTCTTGGCTGTGAAACAATTAACTTTATCTGACTGGTTTGCAGCCATAAAGGCTTCTGTCAAAGCGTTCGGACCGGGCGATCTAATGAAGCGATTAGGTGCTACCTGTGTGCCACTGTGTTCCCCTGGGGCCCTGAGTACATTTGCTTACCTGTTCCGTCTTTGTCGTATTCGTGCACTCCGGCGGTTGCAGGCAGGCAAAGCCTGCTTTGTTGCCATTATTGGCGCCTCCCCCCCCCCCCACCTGCCTTGTTCAGGCACGTCCCTTGGTTACCACATCCTGATTAAGTCTTTTACGCCTATCGAAGCGCTCCCCACCTGCCCAGTATGTACTTGTAGCGTACTATGCACAACACTAATGAGTTTCCAAAGCCGCCTGGGGGGTGGGGGGGGGAGGGCAAAATTGAAAGAAAATTTGTTGACCGAACGTGTACTTTGGTCGGATGCTAATGTGCACACCAGCGGCTGTGAGGCTGAGTTCTCCCCTCATTGTGGCTGATCGCTGTAACCCCAGGCGTCCGTGACGTTCACGCCAGTCGGTCAAGCTCTGGGAGAGCGCGGGCGCTAGCCTTGACAACACGCAGTATGGCATGCTAGCGTCGAAACGCCTAGGGCGAAAGACGAAACCTGTGCGGACTTGTGGCACCAGGTGAGAGTGAGCAGGGCACTCGCGATTGCAGGGTAGTGCGCCCACACACTTACCGCCAGAAAAGAATACTTCCAATTGACCGAGTCATTACTATGCGCCACTGCCTGTTTTAAGTGTGACCATTGGGTTAGCCCAGTCTGTTACGGGCAGTTTGAAAATAAAATCTTTAATTCTGTCCTAGTGGAATGCTATTGTCGAAGTTTTGATTTGTCTGAACAGAATTAAAACGCAGTCACGCCTTCAGGACACTGGGGGTCCAAGTCCTGCCAACACAATCCCCCCCCCCTCAAGTTAACGCAAGCGAGCTGGATAAAGAAAGTGTGGGCAATAGTTTTTCTTTTGGCTAGCATCCAGTGTTGACTTACAGTAGGTACGTGGTCGGACTGTTTAATTAGGGAGGCCTTACGTACAAGGCCGCTAAACACTTTATTGCGCAAATTAACTTGGGATGCCCTCTCATGCCCATATTTGCTCCGAAGTGGGTACAGGTGGGCGTGCTATTTCATGAAACGTTAACCGATATGTAGAAGTGTGTTTTCAGCTCTAAAAGACTACTTAATTAGGGTTGTAATAGTAATTATCGTACAGCATAATCTGAAGATATTTCAGTCGCACCAGGATACCGGCTTTTGAATGAACTTCCCTCCCGCCGCTTTAAAAACTATACCCCGCAAAAACAACCACTTATGTAGTATGTGTTCTCCCGTCCGTCTTCAATGCCTCCATAAATCCATGCATATTTTATAGAAAACATGCATAAAAATATTCTTTCTTGTGCTCCTTTGGTAGCAAACCACGTCTTCTTCAAATTATGTCCTTGAGGAAAGAGTATCTTTTGGTCTTAAAAAAGTTGCTAATCATGTGATTTTTAAGACCGTGAAATAATTAATTATACAGCGTTGCATCAGCACTTTTACCAATGCTGCTTGGGAAGGGTACAACATAGTACACATCCATTACAAAATTCATGAGCCGTATATGACGTCCCCTTAGAAGCATATATAAATGTATGATTTTCCTTACAAGGAAAGCATGCAACTTGTAATTTGGAAAAAACTGAATACATTTGTAACGCAGGTCGGTCTCAAAATTATTTGAAAATTGTGAAGATCTTTTAAACCGAACGGTACTATTTCTTAAAGTATAAAATTTGAAGAAGACTTAGTTTGCTACTAAAAGAGGGCAAGAAAGAATATGATTGTGCATGTTTTCTATAAAATACATTTTAATTAATAAGGACAACAACATTAAATGTGGAAAATTTATTTTGATTAAATAGCCATGCAGTTTATGCAGGCTACCGGAAAGCTCGTTCGAAAGCTGGCATCCTGACGTGTCAGAAATATCTGGAGATTATATGTTGCAAGGTGATTAATATTAAAACCCTACTTAAGTAATCTCTTTGAATTGAAAGCAAATTTCAGAAATTCGGTTAACATTTCATGAGAGTACGTTTACACAGTATATATGTTATAAGTCCCAGCTCAGTTCTGAACACGGGGTTTTTTTCATTGTACTACGTAAATGCGTAGTCTCGGACTAGTTTTGAAATAAAATTCGACACGATTGGGTCCCGTTTGCAGCAGGATCTAGTCCACGCGTTCGCCCGCGCAATCTACTAACGAACACGGGTCACGGAAAAGTTGGAGTTAACTTTAGGTTGCGGGAATATTTTGCAGCTTGTTGGCCCCTTCGGAACACACCAAGGTTAGGAAATTTACTCTCATGCTTCTAGTTGTTGATGGCTAAAACCTTAATGTACTGCGTTCGCGCGATTCGAGAATTTACTCTACAGGTACTCGTGTACTTAAGATGAACTACGAGGCGTCTGACAACGTGTTTTCGCTTGATTATAATGTGTGTGCGTGTGTCGCCCACGTAGCGTACCAAAGATCGCAGTTTGCTTTATTTTAAAAGGAAGACTTTTGCAATCTTGCCCCACTTGCAGGATAAAAATTCACAGGGGGAGACGCCGTAGCGGTCCAATCAGTCATCCTTGTTGCTCTTATATGCTCTAGCTCACATTTCAACGTGTCTTTTGATGACTGGACTGGTAAGAAAGTAAACAACGACCAGGTCGAAAATGAAACAATCTCCTCAGCAGTCGGTTTGCGCTGTAGGTTCTATGCTCGACTTTGAATTTGGGTCGGAGTATTAAGTACAATGTCCTGTAGGTTGGGACATCGGAAGACCGACATGTCCCAATATAAGGACCCGACATGACATAAGTTGTGGCTACTCAGTTTTTCCCTGTTCTAGGTGGTGGCACATGTAGGATTCAAACTCAGTTAGTCGCAATCAGATATACTGACCGCTAGCGTATCCAGGCCTGTGCTCTGGTCTTCTGCTTGCGTTTGTGTTGGAAAAAACTGTGCGATTATTTCTTACATTTATCTACCATTTGGAATGCAAAGCACCGCCTTACCTGGGAGTTTAATGAAAATGGTATTTTCTGTAAGTCGAAGGTAATGGCGTAGTGTAGTCCACTGACTTCTTCCTCAAGGGTTCCTGGGATGTCTGAGGTCTAAAAATCCAAATCAATGTCCAATAAAGCAGCGCTGGCAAACGTACGTTCCCAGTCATTCATCACTGCGCTTTATACGTATGAGTGTATGATTTAATTGGACAGTGGCTGGAAGGAGGGCGAAAGAGTCACTGAACAAGTAAGGACAGGGGAAAGTAGGGAATCAATACATGTAACCATTTGATAAGTGCGGATGGGGTCCTTAGAAGTCGATCGTCACAAGAAAACTCTGGTCTGTTTATCTTATCATTTCATTAGAATCGGGTGTGCTAAAGCAGTTTAAGACCCAGACAGTTGCTTTTGGTCAGCGCAGAACGCGGTTGCCTAATTGCGTATGTGATAATTAATAATAATAATTAAAGGGGGAACGCTTGCCAAGGTTTAAGTGTGTGTGGTCACCTGTGGTTTGAAGGATTTCCTTCGTAGCATCACATTAACAGTTGGCGCTTACACTGGAATGATAGGCCAACAATCACAAACACAGGAGTCCACCAATGTCCCCGCGGAGACTTTCGTTGTAGTCCTATCATTTAGCGCATTTGGTTGCCTATGGTGGAAGAAGAATGCACTCGATTCGGACTAGATGACCTCACTCCTCCTCCTCCCACTCTCTTTTGCCCCGGTGAGCTGTCCTATTGAGCATAAGACTGGATGCATGGGGGCTGGTATTACGTGGAGTCGCCGTCTAGCGCGCGTCACCTACTAGTTTGGATCCCACCTTTTCCTTCTATAAACAATTTTTTTGAATTCCGTTTTCCTAGGAGGGGGAGTATTGTAGTGACATTGAAGTCCGTTTTGTTTTAATCCGTTACAATACGCTTTTTGAAGAACTTGACCCAACTTTGAATGCGACATAGAGCAAGCACGTGCATTTTTACCTGCTGACGACTTGGTTCTTATTTACTAGTTTGTAAATGTTGGGATCCTGCTATCTTCGTTTCCTGGATAGCCTACTCACTGTGCCCAACTACTGGGTTTATCTCTTACAGAGGTGTGAGACGCCGTGAAGACCATACCAATAAGGTGTCAGCAGTCTGACTCTCATTGCAACCTACCGACCTCCAGCCTTTAAAAACACGAATTTTAGGGCTTCCCTATAGGTTAAAGCGTTTTGCTGTGAGAAACTGTCGTCAGATGGATCACTTTTAGAGCCTCGTCACTTTCTCAAAGCGTGGCGAGTCCGGATCTAGCTGTCTGATGATGGACATGAGCACAGTGGCTGACGTGACATAAAAACCCATTGCTTACGCATGCTATACATGACCTGGTTCCTCACGTCACATAAACCGGATCATTACGGTGTGGATCTCACACGATCGAGAGATGCACCTCCTCGCACTTGGTGTGTCGCCCGTCATTACGACCTTCATGGCATGACTGTTGCATGACCGATGCGTGATGTGTCGTTGACCGCCTAAGCCCTTACTTCTGCTAAGACTGACCCATGCAGAACTCGAGTGATTGCGGAGAGAGAGAGCTGTAGAGCTCTGTTACCACTTGGCGGCGGGCGCTGGAAGCCTACAGCAAGGTAGATGCCGTTCACGCCTGCTTCGCTGCCCACCTCGTGGGACAGTGGTGAGATTCGTTGTTTTCGATTGCCAAATTTTCAGCCAGCCCTGCACAACAACAGGTTTGCAGTCCCTGAGATTTTAAAATGCGTCATTTAGTCATCGAGAATTAGTACGTTCAACACTCTACCATTGAGCCACCGGCACACAGTCCCGTCGGTTGTGATGGGGATACTACTTATGGTAATCATTCTAGGCGTATATTACCAGTCGCCTTGTGACGGCCTGTTAGGGCCCTCGACTGTGTCCCAAGGCACAACGGAACAAGCACATCCCGTAACGAGATCAGTGAGCACGCCTCTACCATACTTCCGTCTCTGGCTGCATATACAGAATGCTAAGTAGTTGGCCGTCGTTTCGGCAGTTCATATCGATTTCAGGCGGCTTGTCATCGTAATGACTCCTAACTGTAGCGGAGAAGATGAGACCGAGGATGGTGGGAGTGCATGCACAGCCCTGCTTCGTAAAATTGGTCATCGCGAAGTCTTACCAGACTGATTCGTTATATATGGGGCGCATCATCATGATGCCTGACCAGCCGCGTAGGTCACCCTGGACCGATTAAGGTGAGGTGGAGACTAGCTCTCATTTCTTGGCATCTTTTTGCACTTCCCGGTCCGCGGAAGTCATGTCAGTGGCTCCCTGGTATTATAAAAATCAACAGTGCATGTTAGTAGTCCACCTTCTGGGCACATACCGGAATGAGAGCAAGTAGGTAAATTGCCTGTAGTGCTTAGGAGTGAGAGTACGTGGTGATTGTCACGGACCTAACAGTTCCCTAGTTGCTTGTAATGGGTGTAAAATGATGGCGGCCTTGACGACTGTGTCTCTGTTTGCACTGGGGCATTGAGGTCGGTCTGTTCCGAATTGGAGGCCCAACGTGTCTGCAGACTTCAGCCGGCGCCAGGACATCGGCTGCGCTGTTTTGTCATATCCTATAAATGTCCGCATTTCTTGGGACCCGGGAAATCTGCTGGTAGTCACCTGGCAGATAGTGGATTATCAGTTAAGGATGTCCCTATGGTGTTCGATCATACGCTCCAGAGTCTGGTATAAACAAATAGGCGAGTTCTAGGAGGAATGCGATCGCTGGCACTAGAAGTTTATTGACCTGGCGTTTCGGATGCTCTCCTGAACCCATTCTCAGAGACAGTCGCAGATAAGCGTGATGGAGGCACAAAGAACGCGGTATTTGTAGAATGTCGTTGCCATGCCATCACACGTCTACTATTAGCAGCACCCTTGCTGATCGTTAGGGTTCAAGTCTGATGTGATGATCGCTTTTCAGTTCGCACCTGAGTCGTTACTCGGCGTGATTTCATCATCACTGTTGATTCTCGACGTGATAATGACTCGGCAATTAGGCCGTCCGTTACGAGAACCCTGGCCATCCCCCCATGTGACTAATATCTTTGCCCAGGCAGTCCGCACGTAATATGACACTGGGAGGTCACAGGGCTCGTTGATTGGCTGCACCACGGAGAACCATGACTCAGGCAGCTCGAGGCTTACGCGGTTGTCGCCTCTCGCGAGAATTTCAGCCTCGTCAAATTTGGAGGTATGGCCCGTTCCCGTTGAATGAACGGCGACTTGAGAGCTGGCGTCCTTTCTTCTCACTGCCGCTACCGCAGGTTCGCTCGCATTGTTGGCCCCGTCCGGTTTTCCTCAGAAATTAATGGCCCAAATCACTAGTCGCAGTCTCTTCCTAGCACGCTTTAGCTCTTTGTTCTGCAGAAGTTTGATTTGGCTTAGATCGATGCCTCTTTAGGAGAGTTCACGTCTACGTGCAGTCATTTTTAGCGTTGCGCTGTAACAATTCACTGACGTCTTCTTTTCCTGAGGCCTCCTGTGTTGGTTGCAGTAGCAGTCTCATCTTTGTGACAACAAGGTGGTGGTCTAACCAGAGTGTGTGTGTGTGTGGGGGGGGAGGGCGAAAGAGGGAGAGGGAGAGAGAGAGACGGAGAGGAAGAAGGAGAAACTCGCTTACAGCCATTGTAACGGGTATGTCGCCGCGATCTCGCCTCCTAACAGGTACGCGATCCTGCACGAACCATATGCCACATGGAGTTCGATCCCTTCTGGAGGGGCGTCTGGTGTGGGAGTGTGCTAATATCTTTTTTATTTCCTCTACAGGTGGGCGATCGATAAATATGCGCCCAGCTTCGTTTGCACGCCTTCCTGATCGTCATCCTCGTGAGTGCACATGTGGCTAGCACGTTTCCATTTTGCGCTTGCCGACCATGCGAGGACACACCTCCCCTGCTCATCATTTTAAATCGGCCACACAAATCCCACTTTCTTCCTTGTCTCACGGGCTGAATGCTTGGCGCAGTATTTACTAGTGGCGTGATTGCTGTTGTATCCATGCTGTTCTCTCGCAGTATGATAGCTGGAATGTGAGGGTGGTGATTAGGAGGTTGTGCTTTGCGCAGGTCCTCAATAGAGGGCGTCCGTTGCAGTTGCAGTGGCCATGTCATAACGACCGAGTGCACTTTACCATATGGTCTTGGTCCATGTCTACTCGGGAGCTGAAGCCACCCAGAACAGTTGGCTTGTTTGTCTTCGATAGTCCCGGGGAGGACGTGCAGGTCTTCGTAGAACTCCTTCGCGGCGCCATTGCTTGCCATTGTAGGAACTCAGGCTCCGGTAATTATGGCAGCTTTCTTCTGGCGGAGTGAGTGCTTGATTGAGATGCAGGGGAAACCACCACATTCGCTGAGGAATGACCTTTCACTGCTACAGGATGTACGCCTTAATCACACGCCCACCCCTAATCAATAGCTACTTGCAAAGGCTAGCAGTCCTACTCGTTGTAGCCCACGCCAAGTTCTGTTTCGCTTCACGGTACGAGTTCGTGTTTACCGAAATGCCATTTGTCGGTAGTATTCACGCAACTCTCCCCATTAAACTGTAGTCCTTTCATTTCTAGCAGACGTAGGACCATTTTGTTGCTGACAGTTATCTCTATTAAACAAAAGTGAGATTTGTCCATATGCACACGGTTCCGAACTTTACAATCACTAATTCCGAATGGAGGCTTATGCAACT